ACACCCTGGACAGATCGCCAGTTAAATGTAAATATGATGCAGAACAATAACTGACTTAGATAATTTAGATGTTTGCAGATTAATTTGCAAGGCTTTATGAAAATCTAGTCAGTCTTCACTACCTCAATTGCAAGATCTATGCCTATATGGCCACCCCATGGCCATATAGGCATAGATCTGGCTCTGCCACCTTCAATGTTCACTCTAAAGGCTGATTTATACTCAGAAACCAGGTTGTCTGCATGTGTGTCGCAGTGAATGCAAATGTGTCCCCTCCTCTTCCACAGACACTCTCCAAAATTGTTGTTGACCGCAGACAGTAGGCCTCTGATTGGTCAAATCTACATCCGCTCTACTCTATGTGTATTTCTTGTTTGGTACCTTACCGGCTTGTTTTTTTTTTGTATGACCGCCATTGTGGAAAATGACTGGTGAAGATGGAACAGCTTGAAAAGTTGCCCCTTTCGTTTTTCCACTTTCTCACCTCCTTGGCTGTATTTAAACCCACAGTTAGTTCGTGATTGTCCCTCTTGCATTGTGGTGTGGATTAACCACGCTTCAGTATTGGGCATAAATCAAAAATATCTGCAACAAGCTCACTGAGACACACTGCTGCGGGAGGATAACCAGTCCTTAAGGCTGGTGCGTTTAGGCTGATTTGCAAAGTTACATTTCCTTCTGTTACGGCTGCAGTGGTTTTCTCCCCTTTCTTTGCAGGGTTCTGGATGCAGGCCTTCTGCAGGTGATCTGTTTTGCCCTAATTGGTGCTTGTCTACTTTAAAAGCTGTCATGCAAGCAGCAGACAGGAGGCTTCTCCCTCTTACCTCCTCAGAAACCTGTTTGGTTTGGTTTGGTTTTTATCCTGTCCTATGGTTGGGTTTTGATAGGTTTGGTTGCATTTGCTTATTTCTGTTTAGTTATTGGTTTTGCAGTAAGCCATTTTCTATTCCCCATTTTATTTATCCCTTTTCCAGGTTTTGTTTCTTTAGTATAATTTAATAAATTCAATTTTCAGTTTAAAGAAAATCCTTTTGTGGTCTCCTTTAATGTTACCCCCACCAAACAAGCCTGGTGAACGTAACACTTGAAACATTTCGCATTAAGGCCAAAATAGACCAGAGAACCATCTTCCACATGTTTTCTCTGTCAACCTTGATGATATTCTCTTTTTTGCTCCAGTGTTTTTGAGACCAGCACTTTTAATGGGATGCTGAACAGTACAATCCAACTAAAATTCTTACAAAGTCATTCTGAGCCTACGGCTAATCTACACTATGACCTGAAAGATAACTTCTTCACTATTTTTCAGTCTTTTATGTTGCAATGCGATCTCACATTTCTTGTTTTTAGTTTAGTTTATACAGAGATTCCAATTTACATTCAGATTTGTGATTATAATTGATGCTAAGAAATCAATGCAGGCAAGTTGTTTACATAAAGGCAAGACTATAAGAAAAATGAATATATGAGTTTTAGTTTTGGATTAAAAATAATGAGGGTTTCTGTGGTATGGAAATTTGTTCTTCGGCAGAGAGAATTGTCCTTCACCTTTAATGTTTACAAATCCAGCCTTTCTTATTTTTCTTCAGAAGTGATATGCAGGAAAGTATGCCATCCCTAAGCTCCTGTTCATACTCTTGATCCTCTTCTCAGGACCTCACAGCTCATATTCCATTTTCAGGTGCTCATGCATAATGCAGCCAGTTACTTCATCAAAGTGAACATGGCTGCCATGCAAAGGGCAGACCAAAGGTTGAGACACAGAGGAGTCCAAAGTCCTCTCATATTCAAATGTAAAAGGTACTAAATGATTGATAAAATAGTTTTTTTATTCAATGTGGCTCAATAGTGTTCAATAGTTCAATAGTATATTCCATTTATAATCTTTATATATACATTAAAACATGCTTTAGCTTTTGATTAAGGTCATTTTGATCAATAAAAAGCTTGTTTTCAATTTTCATAACAAAAAAAAACAAGCACGGGAGGATTAGAAACGCTATTTTAAATATTATTTTAAATACACGTCTCTAAGATGCTTTGTTAGTTAAACTTTGATTTTGAACTAAATGCAATGAAAGCTAATATGAAAAGGTATCATTCCCTCAGTGTTGGATTATTCCTCTAAGATGATTGTGGAAAGAAAAAGTTAAAATTAAAGTTGAACATTCGGGGCAGACTTAATACTGAGTTATGTGGAATAATTTTTAACAGTTTGCAAGATTTTAGGGTAAAAATGTGACTCTTTTTTGGAATCATTTTCTGTAGATTTTTTTATTTACTAGACAGTTTTTAATCTTAACATGAAACCAAATGTAAAGATGACGTTTTTGACATTTTGCATATGACTCATAAGGAGAGTTTTTTAATCACAAATAGATATATTTATAAATACAAAAAATGGATATACATAATATCTATATTATTTATTTATATGTAATAAAATAGTAATGTAAATCCCTTTATTGTCCCACAATTGGGAAATTGACTCTCTGCATTTTGACCCATCCCCTTGGGGAGCAGTGGAGTTTGTCCCTGGTACTTGCAAACTTCTCAGAGCACAAGCACACTGCTCTAACCACAATGCCAAAACTCCAGATATAAAATATAATAGTACAATAGTCTTAGTATAATACTTCTGGACTTTTTGAGTCAGATGTTGAAGCTGTCAATGATCGATGCTGCCATCCTCTGGTTCAGGGAGGAACTGCTTGTTCCACCAAATAATGTAAAAGAATCCTTTACAAATTCCTGCATCCGGATTATGATGTGGATCATGACTAAAATGCAAAACAGGTGCATCTTTAGAAAAAAAAAAATGCTGTTTTATATATATATGTCTTTAATGGGTACAATTTATCTATTTGTTTAAATATCTATTAATAATTTATTATTAACAGTATTTATTTAACTTAAATGAAAGGACTCTCAATAGAAAGGCTCTCTATATATTTATAGAAAACAGCTACTGAAGCAAAATACTCTTACTGGGTCTTCAACCATGCTGGATCATTTTGATAACATCCTAATGCGTGGACCTGAGCTGACCTCAGACACTTTTACTTTCTCCTTCTCTTCCACATAGTGCCAAATTATGCCCCCCCTCCACACTTTTTTTTTTTTTAGATAAAGTCTGCTCAAAGCAATTTTCATCAGCAACCACTTTGGTCAGAATGTTATCTCGCTGTACTGTTGAACCACAGCCAAATTATGACTCAGACACATGAAAGAGGACTGTAATCATCATAATTGTGTCCAGCCTTCTAGAAAACACTGCAGCACTGGACTCAGATGCTGCACGCCAACCTGCATGAACATGGACTCATTTCCCACCGGTCTTGTGCTGCGGTGCCTCTAAAATAGACTGAACCATTTCCTACTTAATATGCGATTAAAGACCATTTGCAAAAGTAATCTAATGAAAAGGGACAGGAAACTCGCTGAGGTAATTTTGTGTTAACAGGATCTCAATGTTTTCTATATTGGATGAGTTTAAATCATTGTGATTTAGACTGGCCTGTTGCATAGTTGATTATATTCATGAAACTTGAGAAAAGTACTTTTATGATTTAATTAAATGTAGAGATTTTTCTTCTTTTTGGGGTTAATTTAATTAAATTCATTTTATTTCTATAGCGCCAATTTACAACACAAGTCATCTCAAGGCACTTTACAGTTCACCAGATCATACAGTAAAACATTTTTTTCAAGTTTTCTATCTAAGGAAAACCAGTTGATTGCATCGACTCATTGACTCGAATGCAATCCCTCACACTAAGCATGCTTGTAGCGACAGTGGAAAGGAAAAACTCCCTTTTAACAGGAAGAAACCTCCAGCAGAACCAGGCTCAGTGTGAGCGGCCATCTGCCGAGGCCGACTGGGGTTCAAGGAGACGGAAGCAGAGATACAAAAAGCAGCTGTATCTCTGGAAACACACAGCCAGACAGATAGCCTCCGAGGCAGCTCCCACGTCAGAGGATGAAGAGAACGCATCCAGCCAGTCACAGTCAGAGAAACAGGTCTACACTGAACAACAGGCCGATCTCCAACATCTATAAACAAAGGTGTTTATGGCAGCAGCAAAGCTGATATTTCTGTCCAGGATGGAGTCACAGCCAAACAGGAACAGACGAGGCGAAGCTACTATAAAAAAAAAAGCAGAGACAGCATAATGTTAGAGATTGAACTAACAGATTCTGCAGAGTGGGAGAATAGAGATAGAACCAAGCAGAATGATGAAATGGGGGTCCCTATGTCCTCCAGCGGTCTAAGCCTATAGCAGCATAACTATAGAGATAGCTCAGGATAACCTGAGCCTTTCTAACTGTAAGCTTTATCAAAAAGGAAAGTTTGCCTGACCTGAAAAGTAGACAGAGTGTCTGCCTCACAGACTAAAACTGGTAGAGATCACTTCAGAAGTGCAATGCTAATTAAATATTCTTCCATTTTTCCCTCATTAATGCCAAGTAGCAGCTATTTCATGAAGCATTTTATGAAGAGGGAATCTTTGTTCTGAGTTTATACAGTATTATTCTTGATACTGTATATATTCTTGTCTTACATAATTGACTCAAGTAAAACAAACCATATCACACATTTGAAATTAAGTTTTAGAGCATTTTTTAGATAAATATTTGTGCTTTTTTTTATTGCTTTCCTTTTGGTTTCTTTTGATCTGTTTACATGCAACCAGAGGCCAAAGATTAAAATAGGTTTATATACAGGAATACTATTTTGACAAATAAATCATTGGTCCAAGCACTAAACCCTGTGGTGCTCCACAAGTAACCCTGGATTTTGAAAAGGACTTGTCATTAACATGAACAAACAAGAATCTCATTTAACCCATCATCAAGCACAATCAAGTCTTTCTATGAGAAAACTGCGAAACACAATAGATAAGATCAAATGGGTCACCAAATCTGTAATTGTTATTTTCTTGAAAAGATTATCCTCAGCAACCATATCAAGTTGTGTTTATTTTTTCTGCTCCCAACAGGACAGTTTTCCTGCAAGATTTGGAGGGATCCACTTTGTGAACCAGCCCTGGTACATCCATGCACTCTACACTGTCATTCGACCATTTCTCAAGGACAAAACCAGGAAAAGGGTAAGCTAAAGATTTTAAAAAATCTGAGAAGATTTTTTATGTTTTTTTCTTTAAGAAGAATCTACAGTACTTATCTGGAATAAAAGGATGATAATTTTGAAAGGGAAGTCTTTTTCAATTCACAGCATCAAAGTCTGGTCCTGAATTCACAACATTTTCCAAACTCATTATCAAACAGGTGACAGCCAAGTTTTACAAGTTATTATGAACACTAGAACTCAGGTGCTGCAAACCAGATGCATGCAATAAACTCATCCTAACTACTGAGTGTGATTTATCAGTTCGCCTCCCTGTTGTAGGCCTTTATGTGTTTCCACTATGCTGTGATGAACGAGCTTAGAGAAACAATTATTAACAACCTGTTGGAAGAGGCAAAGGTCCATTTCCAAATATTTCAAAGGGCACAAAAATGTTGTGAAATAAACTATTGAGAAGATGAAAATATTTAAGACTGCTGTTAATTTCCCCACGAGCAGAAATATCTGAACATTTTCCTCAAGGTTAGAAAAAAACAAAACAACAAAAGCTCCAGCTTTGATTTAACCAGCAATAATTGGGATGTTATATGTTAAACGTCATGAAAGTACACCAAATAAACACCTAACTAATATTGGTTGCTTTTAAGTATAGTTCATAGAAGGTTTCTCCTCCTAAACAAGAATATTGCAGCGAGAATAAGGTTTGCAAAGTTGCATTTAAATCAGCTGATAGGGCTTTTGGAAAAAAGTTCTCTTGAGAGATTAGACTAAAGCAGATATGTTTGACCATAATGTTAACAGCTTGGATCAAATTGGGTCATCAAAAAGGTAACGATCCAGCTAATCTGAAACCGAATGGCTGGAAAGGAAAACAAGTGTTTGAAATGGCCCAAAGTCCAGATCTGAACACTTACATTTGATAAATATTTTGCATCCATCATACAGTAACCCTTAATTTAAATCAGGTCACTGAAAATGTACATTTAAACACTATACTGTCCCACTACTATGTCCTCCTGCTACATCATAAAATGTGTAGGACCAACCACATTAGCTCTTGGGGAAATGAATGATTAAAAGATCAAAAGCAGACTTGAAACAATTCTATCTAAAAGAACAGCTCAGCAAAATAGTCGCTCCTATTCTGGTTTTTAATTGAATGAATGAAAACCTTATATCAGACAAATCAGTAAATAAAAGAAATTAATAAAAAATAAACAATTAAGAGGCAAATGTTATAACGTGCTTATTTCTGAAAAGGGATATGAAGAAGTGAAACTTGTTATATTATATCCCTTCACCTTCCTATTGTCCATAACACCAGAAGTATTTCAGATTTTTTTCATTTCATGTTTTTTGAAGCATGTAAGACTTTGAATTTTAGATAATTAATGTAATTACACCCACCCTGTCTCTTAAGAAAGTATTTTGTTTGAATAGAATAGAATAGAATAGAATAGAATAGAATAGAATAGAATAGAATAGAATAGAATAGAATAGAAAATCCCTTTATTGTTCCACAATGGGGAAATTGTGGTGTTTACAGCAGCAAAGGTTATGGTAGAAGTGGTCATACAATGTGCACCTTAGAAAAGAGCATAAACATAACAGATAGGAAAATAAAACAAATAATGTATTGTACTGTACAGTGTTTTTACAATACAAATACTTTGTACCTGGAGAATGAATCATCAATTAACAGCTGTGTACATTTTTAAAGTAATGGTTATGTGAAAATCAGCAGCAAAACCAGAGATGTGCAAAAAATAAAAAAAATGTTTGATAGCTCTTTACTTTTAGCATTATATATTACATTTATACAATTCATGTCTATTTGCAGATCTTTATGCACGGTAACAACCTGAACAGCCTCCACCAGCTCATCCACCCAGAGATCCTGCCATCAGAGCTTGGTGGGATGATGCCTCCATATGATATGGGGACATGGGCGCGTACGCTGCTGGACCATGCCTACGACGAGGAGACGGATTACTGCCCGGAGTCCTACACCCTATCGGTGCAAGACCTGGAGAGAGACCTCGAGAAAAACATGTCCCCGAAAACCATGAAGAGGTCAGATTATTTAGTTAAACACCTCCACATCTGGATCTGTGTTTATGATTTTCTACTGAATCAAATAGCAAACACCTGTGGCTGGAATACTTAAACAACTTTCAGGTTAGTTGGTCTTAAACAGCTGTAAGGTGTAATTGACACATCTTTGTTTAAAAAAAAAACTCCCCAGTTATCAGCATAAATATTTTGGCTCAATTTCAGATTCAATATTTGATTACGGTACTTTTCTTTTTTTCATAACCCACTTGTTGACATTGAGCTTTTAGATATTTCTTTATGCTTAATATTAGCAGACAAATGGTTTGTGCGCAGTTCTAGCAAGGGGCTCCTCATTGGTGTGATACCATTTGCCAACATTCAAAAAACATTATCACTGAGTTTGAATTCAGTGTCTGCGTCCTCCGAGGGCCGATCATATCATAGCGTAGCTCCGAAGCCCGTTCCGATTGGAAGACTCCTCATTATGCGGCTGACAAATGCATCCTTCTTTTTGCCCGTTTTGTGTATCCTATGTAGCTTTGAGTTTCCTGTTATTCATAACAAATCCAAGCAAACCAGCACCTCAGCGGCTCAGAGGAAATAGGTAAAATGCACTGAACAGTGGAGAATATTGTAAGTTCAGTTTAAAATAGTACTAGTATGTGAATAGTTCTGGAAGAAATTAATAAAAATCATCTTTTTAAATGGTTATTGAGTCCAAAATTAGATTAGATTAGATTAGATCAGCTTTATTGATCTCACAGCGGAGAAATTCACTGGTCACATATTGGCTTAGTAATTAAAAAAGGTGCAAACAGGGAGGAAAAAGGTGCATTAAGATAAATAAGGATTAATGTGCAAGTGTACATGTAACACTCACAATGAAAAAACAAAATAAAAATAAGAATAAAAAAAATAATAAAAAATTTGACAGGTAATAAAGTCCAGATAGACCAAATCCTTGGAGAATGCAGCCTCTGAAATCAAACACGCCCTATGCATGCATTTAGTGGGTAAAAACCCTTAATTTTTTCTGTGAATTTGTTCCACAACAAGTATAATTGTAGTATGAAAGACTCAAACTATTTGCAACCTTCAGGTCGGTTTATGTAAAGATAAAGAAAGAATACCACCTGCTGAAAAGTGAGGACAAAGTTATGGAAAAATAAAAAAAAACAAAAATAAGGGGCCTCCCACATGACTTATTTATAGAAAGATGGTGATAGGGATGTAACAGACGGTATGGGGGATCCTTGTTTCTAGTAATCTGTCAAGACCTGCAGCTCACTGCGTGAGTGGAAATACTTTTTCTCTAAATCCATTCTGCATCTTTCACTGTGACTGTGACATGACCCAAAAATAGTGGGAAAGTGCTGGTTTGATTGCCTTCAGTTGCATGTAGTATAAGCTTTCTTTCCTCAATAATAGAAGGAGCAAATAAGATGGATAGTGTACCTAACATATATAAAAGGAAGAAAAGAGGAGGTAATTGGATTGTAGGGTGGATCGCCTGCAGAGATAAAAAAAAAAAAAAATCCTATTACCTTGTTAATTGTTTTGAAAAATGTTTGACTCATCAAAAACACAAACTTCCATGTGGATGTTAGATATATACACACCAAAGTAGAAGAATTAAAGAATTTGCCTGGTTGAGTTTTACCCCCCATGTTTATTCATTTAGCCCATTTCAGTAGCAAGATAGTTCCAAGTAGATAAATTACATTGCAGTAGCATAACAATACTAATAGAAAAAAGATAAATAATTAAAAATAAAGTGGATAAGTAAAGAGATAAAACAACTATTCAAATAAATAACAAAATTATTAACCACAAAATGGAACAAAGTTGAACGACAAACTCACATTTTAATTAAGTAGTTCAGTCAAAGGTCACAATAAACAAATAGATTTTTAATCTTGAATAAAATCAGCTAAGGGTTTTGGCTTTTTTTCTTTTTTTTTAACAGTGTCCTGTTTGGCAATGTGGCAATAAGAATAATTGTCTTGATGCCAAAAAAAACCCAACAGATTTTACTTTCACAATTGTAGCAGTATGGCAATTGCCATATTGCTCCACTTGTTTCATGCATATAAATTGCTTTATTATGATTATGCCGGGAGTTTTACAGTTTATATGCACACTGCAATGTAAATAGAACAGAAGAGGAAAATCAGAAATAGAAAAAGTAAAAAAAGAGAAAAGATGAAAAAAAAGAGGAGATAGAAAGGAGACAATACATTTTCAGTCTGCTTCATCACCTGCAACGAGATGCAAAAAGAACAGCACAACCGAAAGCCATGGTACAAGACATACAATAAAGCAAAACCTTTAAACTATCGCTGAAGTAGTATTATTAAGTCTGACATAAACTCTGTGAAGATAAGAATGTGGGCTTTCTGTATGGAAATGAATCTCTGAGTACCTGGAACCAAGCACCTGTAGTTATTTGTGAGAGTGCACTTGTGCATGTAAAAATGCTCAATAGTGGTTGTGGAGAGCCGAAGGGGCGCCCCCCCAGAGCACTGAGTCCAGTGCCGGGAGACCCAAAGCCCCAGACGCCCAAAGGGACCCCGAGAGCGAAGGCACCAAGGAGAGGCCAGCCCAGGAAATCCGACCCCCACCAAGGGAGGAGGAGAGACAGCCCTGAGGAAGTCCCCAAGCCACCACAATGACGGCGCCCCGGGGAACCGCGGGGACGAGTCCGCGGTCTCCGCCGGCAGCCAGCCACCCTGAAGTGAATCCTGCCCTGGGCCCCAGGGATCCAGGGGTTTTGGCAGTTTAACAGTTTTCTGTGAATTTATTTAAAATTAGACAATAAGAAAGAAAAACTCCTTCTCCATGTTTTATCATCCAGAAGAACTGAGATGTCTGGCTGGTTGATCCACAAATCTGTTATGTATTTTGCAGCCAAAGTCGATTTTTTAAAGTCGATTCTCTGTGATACGTGGAACAAATGTAACAACTTTAGAACTGGACTGATGTGCTCAATTTACTTACTTTCAGTGAGGATGTGGGCAGCACACAGCTTTCTTATCCATTTTTAAGACTGACCTGTGATAACATCGCTGCAGTGATCAACAAAGCTCCTGCTGAGACATTAATCCCATCTTAAAAATGTTCTTTAGAAGATAGAAGGCTGATATTCATACTGTCTTTATGTGTCTGAAGGTTCAGGTCTGAGTCCATCTCTACACCCGGATTTAGAACCTGATTTATGGTTTCTATTATAGTTTCTATTGCTGTTCTAATGTGAGCTTTGTGCAAACTTTTCAACGATCTTCCTTTGGTCCAAAAATTCTTTCTTTCTTTTTGTTTCAATTCAGCACAAGCTTTGATTTCTTTTATGTATTTACCCATTGCTTGAATGGGTTCATGTAATTCACTGTTACACTAAATCTCATAATTACTAGAAATAAAGCAACTCAATCGCCTTAAAAGTTTTCATGATATGGAAAACAATCCACCCTGAGCTGAGACAACAAGCTGCCATTCTGGGGCCTCACAGTGGTGCCATTAACAGTTAAATAATTAGACAGTAATGAACCATCAGATAATCAGTCAGCATTGTTAGAAATAATCTTCTGTTTGCTTCAATTTTCTGCAGCTTTGAATTCTATCTAACTATGTTAAGCTCATAATTATTTTGTATAAAGGGATATGCCGTTCATAGTAAGACTAGAAATAATATCCATATTTTATACAATACCAAATACATATAGGAAATTACACAGATCTAAACTCTCTGCATAAAATAGCTTCAATGTGGTTGCGCTTAAACTTTTTGTATCATTAGCTGGAGTTTATTTGGAGACAAAAGGATTTCATTTAGAGGGGGAAGCAATCTAGGTTTAGTTCAACACATGAAAGGCCTGAACCCATAGAATCAGAGATTCACTCAGCAGAATTTCATGAGCTAATTGGACACTTAGTGTCGACTAAACAAAACAGAATTGCCGCTCAAATATGCACTTATTGCTGTTTTTATTACACTGCATATATGGTAGCAGAAGCTACATCTTTTTCTACCATGCTTATTTTGATGCGGCTGATGGCTCAAAACATACTAAATAAAGAAGGATATGACAATTTTGTGAAACTTTAGACTATTAATGCAGATGAGTTTAACTCCAGTTCTAAAGGGTTGGTGTGCTGCATGTTTCCCATCTGTCTCTGCTCCAACACATCAGATTCAAACAGCTGAATCACCTCTTTTGTGCGTCAACATTATCTGAAGAGACCTTCTAAATGAGCCCTAATAATGTTTAGCTGTGTTTAAGCAGGAAACATGCCAAAACATGCAGTGCATCAGAGCATTAGGACTGACTTTGCACACTGTTTTAAAGCTTTATTTCAACAATATAATTCTTCTTTGCACATTTCCATAAAGGCCAGATTTCTGAGGTTTATATCAGCCAACACATGCATCCCTGCAGCTCTTCCAGAATTATCACGAGTTTCTTGGCTGATTCTCTGTTTTATGCTTTTTTTTACCCGGTTTTTAGGTTTAGGCGGACGTCAATGCGTGGTAGCTAGTATAGTATTGATTCACTGTGTCTAGTTTTGCCTAAACATATTAAAATGCGCTTTGTGAGATGTTCATAGCCTGGAATATTGTTTTACCAGACAACTCGACTTTAAGCATCTAAAGTTTAAGTTCCCACCTGTTTGCTCCTTTTTTAAGTCTTCATGAAATTGTTTACATATGTTTCAAAGAGCATTTGCCTTCTAGTTGAAATCAAAGTTACAGCATTTACTGGTTAGAGAAGATCTAAAGGAGTTTGGTTGCACTTCATACGTACAGTGGCTGGGTCTAGGGGGTATAAGAGACAAACATAAATTTAGACAGTGAGAGAAGGAGCAAAAATTGTTCAGACTGGTAAAAGCTTCAGGGAGAACTCAGGCCAACATATAAAAGAAAACAACCCTAAAAGAAAAATAAAACACAACTTAGCTAGCTCCAGTAAAAACAAAATAAAGAGCCCTAAAAAAAATAACCTAACCTGAGAAGCACATAAACAAGAGAAACCTGGGGTTAAACAACAAAAACCAAAGCAATCTGAACATGGTCACAAAAGAACAAATGTGCAGGGAAGCATTCAAGCTCACACAACCAACAGGGCTTTATATGGCAGACAAATGGTCCAGAGGATTGAGGTGCAGCTTCACAGCCATTAAATACTGTGCAGATGATTGCTGATTGGACAGAGACCCAGGAAGCAGCACCCAATCTTGGAGGAGTTTTAGCCTAAAACAGAAAAAAACTAAAACAGAAAAGGTATTACTTCAATGCAAAAACAAAATAACATTCACCTTTTGGATATAATATTACAAATTTCAGCGTAAAGGGATTAAAGGCACACCGTGGAAGTTTTTGCCACTGGGGGCCCGTATTTGGTTTCTACTAAACATTAAAAATAATAACAAAGATATATAACTGTATACTAGGAGGAAAGTGTTAACTTACCAATCTAATAATAAAGTTGAAAAAATAAAACTTGTTTTAAATCTGGCTTCTTCTTCCAGCCTGCGGCAACAAACAAACTCCTTTCCAAGATCGACTCTTATTTTTCCTCGCATACTACACTGCAAAAACGAGCTAGAAATAAGTACAAATTTCTTAAATTAAGTGTATTCACCCTTAATTTGAGTAGGTAAATTAGATAATTTGCCAATGGAATGAGTATTTTTAGTCTTAAAATAAGATAATTAGATAATATGCACTTGAAATAAGTGAATTCAACTGTGTTTTCTTATTTTAAGTGTAAATTGTCTTGTTCCATTGGCAAAATGTATCTTTTACACCCTCAATCCAAGAACAAATGCACTTATTTTAAGAAAAAATGACTTATCTAGATTTAGATTTTTTGCAGTGTATCCCTTTCACATTTTCCTTTTTCAGCCTCCTCAGAAGCTTTAAACTTTTTTCTTGTCTCAGTTATGACCAGTAGTCCAACAGACAGAGAAATAGTAGAGCAAAAGCCTTACTGTAGTTCCATGACGATATAAGATAATACGGACATAAAGCGATACATTCTTCCAGGTCACATTACCTGGGCAACAACTGTGTATCTTCACTGGAAAAAATTGACATCTAGATAATACAATTTTTCTTAAAATAAGTGCATTTTTTCTTGGATTGAGGAGATAAAAGAGACATTTTGCCAATGGAACAAGACAATTTACACTTAAAATAAGAAAACACAATTGCATTTTTCTATTTTAAGTGTATATTATCTCATTATCTTATTTTAAGAGTAAAAATGCCGATTCCATTGGCAAACTATCTCATTTACCTACTCAAATTAAGGGTAAATACACTTAATTTAAGACATTTTTACTTATTTCTAGATCTTTTTTTTTCAGTGTACTCCGAACTTACATAGTCTGTATTTCAAGAGTTCTTTCACGAAGTCCGCTGTGTGCATTCAAGTAAAAATGCATATTTCATATTTTATTTGTTAAACTTTTTATAATCAAAAGATATTTTTCTATTAAAATGTTTCGATGTTGCTTGTTTGTTCTTGTAGGTCTCAGTCAGTGGTGGAACCAGGAGTCCTGAAGAGACCGGACAAAGTGAAGAGCGAAGAAGACAACATGCAGCCACTTCTCTCGTTGGACTAAACCCACATAATCATGGAGAAGAGGCAGAAATGAGTCAATATTTCAAACCTAAATACTTACCTGTGCACATACTGGGATCAACACGCATCCTACACAAAGACATTCCTTTTTAAAAAAGTGCAGCTGCTTTTGTTGGAACTTTACAGAAAACAGATGCAAGCAGGGACACCTCCAGGAACCGGAGGAAAACCGACGACCTTCTGATGGTTCTCTATACACTCTATTTATTTATGTAGTTACATGTCAAGTGCCAATTCCAGAAACTGTAAATATAAAGTCTTTAAACAATCCAGAATGGAGCAGGGAAGACTCATCTTGAAAAGGATAGCAGTGGAGAAGCCCTGAATGTGTGAAGGTAACGGTTCCCACGGTTGTTGAGTATTACAAGATTAGGACGAATGTGTGGAAACTGCAAAGCATATTTCAAAGAGGGCTTCAGGCCTCCACTTCTATAAGCAGCCGTCTTTTTTTTTTTTATATCTTTATGAAGAAATACACTCTATACGGACAAGAAGGGGGAGAGGAAAAGAACTATGAGCCTGTCCATCTTCCTTAACCTGAATTGGCAAACAGGTATTGGTATTTGTAAGGTTTTGAATCTTTGAATAACAATAATGTCTAAAATGTCCATCTTTCTCCAGTTATCTTTTGGAAAAGCAAACGAGTTTGCTTTCTGAATCATTTGCTTTTCCCCCTTCAGCCATTTTCTCTCCATCTGACCCAGATGTCACAGAAAACAGTGCTCTTCTCTGCCATTAGAAAGCCCAAAAAGCTGCAGGCTCATATGTGTTTGTTGGATAGAAGTTGTATTTTCAGAATCTAATGGGTAGCCAGAAAAAAAGTATTTTATAAAAGCAAAGTTCTTTTGCTTTGTGGCACATTTTGTGGCACAAAATTGCGCTTTTTCTGTGATGTTATCCCCCCATTCCCCTAGAAATCTAAAGTGATCACAGAGTAGCAGCAGTTATACTTATCACTTCAGAGTAAAGGCTTTTTCAATCTGTAAGATTTATAGAAATAGATGTTATAGACTGCACCATATCGTTTACCCATTTGCAGAAAACCCCATATACATATTGCAGTAATAAGGCCTGCAATCTGTTTTTTATTTTTTGCATTCATTTAAGCTCATTTTTATAGTGAAGCTAGAAAAAAATACTTTTTAGCACTTTTAGTTTTAAAATTTGAAACCAGTGTTGTCCTGCTAATATATTCCTAAACTATTTTACAAACATCAGGTTTGCCTTTACTTTTATGAATTCAATGTAAACCCACTTTATTTAAATGTCTGTATTTAATGATGATTTAAAGCTTTATGGTACAAATATGTCAGCCGGTTCTCACTCTCAACTTTTCTTTTTACAATATTCGCTCAATGATGCTTGATTAACCTTGGGTTTTATTTATAAATCAATTTGGAGTTATTTGGGACACTATTATTTATATATGAGCCAAGCAGTTAACTGTAGACTGACTGATAGGCAACAAATTCTAGATTTTATTGATGAATCGATGCTTTGGTGCGTCTGCTTTGAGTCATTTACATTTTAAGCTACTCTTTTTTCTGAAGTTCTGGCAACAGAAACTTTTCAGGAGCAACAAATGCTTTAGTGCATTTTAACATTTCCTGCGCCAGCTGATAAACATTCACGTTATATAGAGATTTTTGAGAGATTTATTTTGCTAAAGACCAAGGGACTCCAATAATTGTTGATATTTCCTAAAATAGTTTGATTCCTTGTTTTTATAAATCAATCACGTCAAATATAAGTAGAGAACAATGTTGCCTGAAAGTAAAAAATATGGCTTGCAAAATCAAGTCTATATAAAATATCATGGTGTCTGCAATGGATTCTAGGATAAAAGGAGATGTTGAAATAGGTGCAATAATTAGACAGGATATGCCTGGACATTTAATTAATGAATATCCAGTGTTAGCACTTAGGTTGTCTCTTTCAGACATACTGTGAAATAAAACAAGGTGAAGTGAGATGCCACGTTCAACCGAGGTCTTGTCAGGTTCTGGCTAAGCGCTAAAAGTGATGTTGAATTTTCTTTAACCTCTTGGCAACGCAAGTTTATTTATCTAGTGCATTTCAGTCGTAAGGTAATTCAAATGCTGTACATAAAAAAAAACATAGAAGTAAAACAATGAGAATTCAAGACAATAAACTGATGATTAAGATGATAATATAATGATTAAAATAAAATAACAATAATTAATGATCTGAGATAGTTAGACTACAAAACAGCCACTTAAACAGGCAAGTTTTTAATCAGGATTTTAGAGCAACTTCAGGTTTCAGCGTTTTTACAGCTTTCTGTTAGTCTGTTCCAGATTAGTGGAAAATAAGAACAAAAAGCTGCTTCTTCATGTTTGGTTCTTGGTTTGCAGAGTACTGTAGATTTCAGCCATTAGACCTGAGAGGTCTGGCTGGTTTCTACACTGACAACCAGTCTGGAATGTATTTTGGAGTCAAGCCATTTGGTGATTTTTTTAGTCTAAATAGAAGCACTCCTTAAGACACAGGGAGCCAGTGGAATGAATTTAGAATTGGAAGATGTGCTCCACATTCTCATCATTAGTGAAGACGCATGCTGCAGCTTTCTGGATCAACTACAGCCTTCTGATCGATGTTTTAGACAGCCTTTTAAAGACACTGTTAAAGGTGAACGTATGAATTAGTTGTCTAAGGTCCTGCTGAGACGTTAATAGTTTAATCCTTGAGATGTTCTTTAGATTATAGAAAAAGACGAATCATAAAGACGGTAGTCTTTATTATTCTCTGAAGGTTCAGATCCGAGTCCATCGTTAAACCCAAATACTGAGCCTAATTGGTGGTTTCTAACTGTAATATCAGGAGCTGGGTGCTCATTTTTAAATGTTTTCCTTTAGTTTTCAGTTATGTTGACCCTGCAGTTTTACCCTCCTTCTATCCAACCTGCTTTAGACGTTACATTTAACCAGACTTCAAAGTCATTATATAGTAAAATCAACATGTATTTCAGTTTTAGGTTGGGTGGCTGTGATTTTGGATTTAATAATGTTTTCTATCAAGTGAATTTTTTCCACTTAGCAATAAACCAAGTACCATCCACTTTATTGCTATCATGCGACTAAATCTTTCCAGCTCTGATAACCACTGCCAAAACGCTCTTAGTATTTGAAACAGTTTATTATGTGATTCTGCATTACCACATCATCCCTGGTCTTAATGCATTCATTTCTGCTTGAGGGATTCCGTCCTAAAATACATCAGAACATCCGGTCTAATCAAGAAACACAAAAAGAGGATTATGACAAAACTGAAATGTTTGGTAAGTTGAGAGTGAGAACGGTTCTAAAATGTTTCAAATGTTTTAGTTTATGAGTAACTGAAGTGATTGTAGTTCTACTGAAACAGGCACATGTTTTAGCTGATCTCAGCTTTCCCAGCCAGTTAGAAGCTTTGTGTCTAAAGCAGCATCAGTCTCTTGGAGCAGAACCACTGATCAATCGCAATGATTTTTTGTTTTTTTTTAACATGGAACATTTCCCAGTGTAAAATCTGGTTAGCATTTGACAGCAGTAAGCTGCTCAAACCCATGATGCACAAATTCAAAATGTCCTTTAAAATCCAAGTTAATTTTGGCTGTTTCTATTGTTGACATTCATTTTCTTTAAGGTTCTTTGCAGACCTACAGGCTGCCCATTCTGCAGTATTATTATAGTTGGTCATAGATATATACAGTAATATATTATTTATCTCATAGAGCGTTCTTTTCTTAGTTATGTAAACAGGATGAGAGAAAAGTCAAACATATTCCAAACAGTTTGGAAATGTATTTTCTGTAAAAAGTTAAAGTACTTAGAGTTTATGTTAAATTTTATATTTAGAATACACATGTAATAATTAGTGAGATAATGATTTCCATTTATATTGCATAGATAAAATAGAAGCTTTAACAGGACAAACTTTTCTCATTTGTTTCACATTGTGTTTTTATAATAGACAGACTTTCCTGTGGAGTTTATTCAAATGAAACTGGTCCCATCTGATAGTGTTTGATAAATGGCTGTTACAGTTTTTCCGCCTCAGTGAATCACCGCAGGCGAATGAAGTGCAAAGCTTCGACGACTGAATGTTAACAGCAGGCTGGGAAAAATTGTCTCTCCGCCGAGCGGCACAGCAGCATCGGGCTGGCAAACGGGCAGCCGAGCGGATCACAGAGGAGCCCGCCGGCGGGCAGGGAGCATCAGGTGGCCGGCTGCAACCAGAGCAGACAGCTGGAATGTTAAACTATCACACCAGCGTGCTTGACATGTCAACCCCACTTAAAGCAGCGTGTGGTTTCTGATCTGGGTTTAAATCAGGGAGATAATAATCAGCCACACGGATGGTCAAAATATTCATCCACTGAATATATGATCAGTTTGTCCCTCTGAGCGCCGAGCCCATTAAAATGACTAATAATTGGACTCTGAAGTCTCTGATGGTTCTGCATAAATTATCTGTTACGGAATATTAATAAATCAGCCAACAGGCCATGTTTTCTTTTTTTTTTTACCTTTATATTTTAAAAATCTAGATCCTATAATATCCTCTTTCCAACATCAGTATCAACTTACACAAATTACACATGATACTGTATTACCTGGTCTTTTTAAGCAAGTAATTGGTTACAAGAAATGAATAGAGGATCTCTAACGAGCTTGCAAAGACAAGTTTTATAGTTCTTCCATACACTTTGCTTTGTTTCCCAACATATTTATGAATATTATGAAGGAAATGTTTTCAAATTATTCTCAGCTAACTGTGCAAATTATATATTTTTAATTCTTTATTGAAAGTTTAAAAAAACTTGTTATTTAGGGTCATGATTTTGGCCATAAAGAATCCTAATCTGGTTCTACCTTTAAGCTAAAATAAGTGTAAGTGCTTGAAAGCTGAAGCAGCCAATAGGCTCGCCTTTACTTTGGGCATCAGTAAAGTATTAAACCTAGAATGGTTGAATTAGGTGTAGTCAAATACAGGCTGTAATTTAGGTTTAAGGAGCAGTTTTGGAGATCCTCAGTTTTTTGAACTAGTTGGCTTCCTGGCTCACTAAGGTTTCAGCTGATGTAGAAGAACAGAAATTAAAGAGCTGGTATAAGGAGATAAGTTTAGACTTCTATACTGTATCAATCATTTAAAAAATTGCGTCTTCTGAATCTCATTTTTAATTTTTCAAACTGAATAGAACATCCAAGCTTTTCAGAGATTTAGCTAATATTTTGAAAATTACCTTTTTGGATAATCTGGATATTTGAAAATCATGACTGATTTCATTTGTCATAAAGTTTATGTTTGGAATGCAAATGTTTGGAATGCAAATCTCTCCTATAAATTGGGTAAAACTGTACAGGAGCAGCCATTCAAAGTGTCCCTTCCCAGTCAAACGCCAGCCGAATGGCAGCCTACTCCCCTGCAACTTCCAGTTAAATCCCCTCCAACTTCCAGCCACTGGCCTTCTCCTGCATATTTTTTACTCTGACTCCACCCTTTCACTGAATTACAGGGTCTGATCAGGAGATGATGCTTCTGTTTCTGTCCTAAAGTCCACAAATCATGACAGAAAGAACATTTTAGTACAAAGAGTTATGTTTAAAAAGGAATTGTAGAGGACAGGCCAAGGACCATCCAAAGGCCCATCAAGGAAAGTAGGGAAATTTTGAATGGCTTTTATTGATGGTGAAGATTCTGAGTCATACAGAAAAAAAAAACAATCCGCTGGACTTTGTTTCCAAGTTTGAAATGGCTACTACTTTAACTGTTGCAAACATGCAAATGCATAACATACATTTGGGTGAATGCTTTAACTTAAAAAGGTATAATTATGTTATATGAATGTAAACCTGCACATTCATCTCATATTACACTAGTTTTATGTGAAAAAACTGTCAATCAATTATCTGCCACTTAAGCCCCTGTTTAGTGATCCTGCCAAATATGTCTTTCTTAAAGACAGGAACACTGTTGCTGTTTGGAGCCATTTGCTCAATCAGGTGCAGCACAGATCACTCTACAGTTAACCTGAAATGCATGTTTTACTCTGTGGAGGAAGCCAAAGTACACAGAGAGAAACCACATGCAGAAGGAAACCCAGATCAGGATTCAAACTCATTTTCACGCTGCAGCGAAATAGTGCTAACAGCTACTTTGTAAAATGTATAAAAATTAAATCTCATTTTTCAGCTTCTAATCACTATCTAATGTTTGCAAAATATCTTTATGTTCACCTGAAGAACCAACATCTTGTTTGTAATTATCAGTCTAGAGGTCACACCGATCTACTTTTAAATTGAACATTTTGCATTTGAGC